GTTTTGATCATTTTTTATTTAATTTATTAATGCTATCCACTACCAATATCTGATTATAAATTGTGGATAAGATTTTATTCAAATCTAAATATTACCGGAACAAATTTGGATATAGGCAAATTTGGACAAGATTTCAGTATTTAGTTGTTGGCTGCTCAATTTTGCAGAATATCTGAGATCACAGCTTCACAGGTGCTATTTTGCATTTGTTAGAAAACTTGAAAAACCTCATTTACCATCTATACTCCCAAGTTATTCCCATTTTTCTCAAACATCAAATAACCATATCCTTTCAAACTGTCAATTCTTTTACACAAGGGGAGTCTATATACACTTTTCTATAGAACTCAATCCTTCCAGTCTTCGACGGAGAAGTGAGAATATCAAACCCAAACTGACGCATTTGTCATTTAGAATTCTCATAAATCATTTATGATAATAAAGATAAAACTAACCTCCTTCCTTTCCCTTCCTTTTCCTACCTTTTCTTTCAATCCAAACACAGCTTTAGGCTGTGGCAGCTGCTTTTGTTTTCAAAAACAAAATCAACTATATTGTCAAACACCCTCCTAAATACAAAAGTATCATAGGTGACAATGACATTAATACATTATTGCCCTCAATAACAATATCAACGATACAAAACCTCCCCCAACACAAACCCCACCATACCTTTTCACTCCACCAAATTAAACTTACAAACCCTCACCATACCTGTTCACTCCTCACCAAATTAAACTTAGGCTGCATTTTGTACTACGCTGGCACGACCCCCAAGATTAGGCCTGGCCGATGGTTTATACCCATGAGAGCTTGTGCTGGCACGGCCTGGGCACAGTGTAAGTTGTTTGTAAATTTTGAGGTTTTCAATTTTATTTATAATTTTTAAGTTATTTGTTAATTTTTTTCAATTCCACTTTAAATTTTTATTTGCAATTTTATTATAGTATTTTTTTCCAATTTCATTAAATCATTTTATTGTATGATTGCTTATACATATAAAAAAAATGGTTTTCAAAACCAGACCAGACTGGACGGTCGGACCGGTTGACTTGGGAACTGGTCACGCAACCAGTTCTGTTTCATCTTAAAACCATTCTTGGGCCAAAAAGCGTTGATTTGGTCAGCAACCCACTGGCCCGGGTGGTCGAACCGTCAACCTGGGAAACGGCTTTGGCCGTTCTTTATTTTAATTTTTTTTATTTTTTATTTTTTATTGTTAATCAGAACAGGCCGTCCATTCAAACCAGACAGTCAGATTATTTGACCTGGGAACCGGTAGCCAAAACGGTTCCATGTCCAGTCCAATTCTTAAAACCTTGAAAAAAAATGAAATATTGCAGGCCAGCCTAGCCTAGCCCAACCCAGGGCTTGGGCTTGGGCTTGGGCTTGGGCTTGGGCTTGGGCTTGGGCTTGGGCTTGGGCTTGTGCTGGGCCCCACCCCCTGCCTTCACGGGCTGTGCCAGCACCATCTGCTACAGTAACCATGCGGTCCATGCCGGCCCAGCCCAGCCTGCTACAGTACGTGCAGCACAAAGGCCACATTAAACCCCTAAAACCAAACCAAAGTCTGCATTTTCATGAACTGTACATATTTGCATTTTTGCATTTATACTGAACATTGCATTTGCACTCTTACCAAACGCAATCTTAACTCTAATTGCCACAGCAGCAGAAATACCTTTCTACTAGGCACTAGCCCCTTAAACAAGACCCTCAACATCTTTAAATTTGGGCAAATGCTATGGTGCAGAAATGGCACCATGTAGCAAAACAATCCTAGTACCCTACTTTCTTCACAACCCTAGAAAAACAATCCACTTTTTTTGCCATTTAAACTTGGGCAAAAGCTATGAATTGCACCGTGTAGCAAAAACGTGAACCAATGAAAAGATGATATCACATGTGACATCTTTAACATTTATAACATCTTTAAGATCAACCAATGAAAAGATAAGTAGCCATGTAACATCTTTAACGTGATTGGTTCATGTTTTTGCTTCACAGTGCAGTTTCTGCACCGTAGTCACTCTTAAACTCATCTGTTAATCACCTTTTCCAAACTATCTTCTTATCTACCTGTCTAATTTCATCAACTAAAATATCACCTTCTTCCTTTCTGTTGATCTTGTACTACCTTGATATCTTCCCTTGAATTTTCTTCATAATCTTCCTTTCAAGAAGATTCAGAGGGACTTTTTATGGGAAGGAGTAGGCAGTGCAAGGAAGTTTCATTTGGTGAAATGGGATAAGGTTTGCAGGCCAAGAACGTATGGTGGATTAGGTATTAGAAGGGTTAAAACTTTCAATAAGGCCTTGTTGGAGAAGTGGCGGCTATGGAGATTTGGGCTGGAAAGGGAGAGGGAGTCTCTTTGCAGGAGGGTTGTAGCAAGAAAGTATGGGCTGGTGAGGTTTGGGTGGGAGTCAAGGGAGGTCTCCAACTCTTACAGAGTGAGTGTCTGGAAGGGGATTATGTTGTTCAACCAAGAGTTTAAAGATCTAGTCAGTAGGGAAGCTTTGTAAAGATGAGTGGTGTGAACTTGTGAAGTAGGGAAGCTTTGTGAAGTGTGCCCAAAACTTTACAGGCGGTCTGAACACCAGATTAAAATTGATCAATGCTTTGAAGTGAATGGAGAAAAGATTGTATGGTACCCCAAATTTAGAAGACCCTTGCTGGACCAGGAAATAAGAAGAATGTATTCAGTTGTTGGGTTTGCTACAGAAAGTTGAGATATCCACTTCTTTGAGGGATGGATTGTGGTGAAAAGAGTGTAAGAATGGGGTTTTCTCGGTGAAGTCTTTCTATCTAGCTATGTCAAAGGATCAGCAGGTATCATATTTTAAGGGAGGGATCTGGGGGAATCCCATTCCACCTAGAGTGGAAGCTTTTGCTTGGCTGGTTGCCATGGACAGCATCCTAACAACTGATCATTTGAAAAGCAGAGGTTTTTATATGGCAAACATTTGTGTCATGTGTCATTCAGATGAAGAATCTGTTCTACATTTATTCTCTACCTGCAAGACTGCAAGAATCATGTGGAGTTACTACACTTCTTTATTCCGGAAAAGAGCTATTCGCCAAATTCAGCAGTAGAAATTTTCTCTGGCCAAGATTAGGGGGAAGTAGGAAAGCAAGGATAGTATGGAGCTGCATCCCCTTTGCTGTGTGTTGTATACTGTGGAATGAAGGGAACAAGAGGATCTTTGAAGACAAATTCAAGAACACAGAAGTTCTGATGGCTCTGGTGGGTAAGTTAATTGCAGATTGGGTATGGGTATTACAGATTTTGATCAAGTTAGCAGATCAGACTTGGGGGAAAATTTCTAGATCATGCTTGAGATTCATTTGATGTAAATTCTATCAGTCTTAGTTTGGACTATCCTCTAGTTCAGTATGCTCTGTTTTGTAAGCTAGGACACATCTTGTCACCTATTACACGTAATTGATTTTTTCTATTTAATAAAATTTCTATTTTTACTCTTCAAAAACAAAGTTTTCAGCCATAGGCTTTGTTATGCTTCTTCTTTCTTGGATATGATCTCCCATTTCACATCCCAGAAAAATAACCACGGCTAACAATCCATCTTCTTTAGCAAGCAATGGTTTATTGAACATTTCCCCACTTCCCTGATACAGGTTAACTTAGGTGCCGTTTGGCAAGTCTTTTTTGAAAGATCTTCTGGCAGACCTGAAAGCCAAAAGATGATGTGAGCTTTTGCATTAAGATCTTAGCAGCCTGAAGATCGTTTGGTTAAAGCGCATCTTCCCGCACGAAGATGTGATGAAAAAAGTCAAAAAGCTCCATTTGGAGCTTCCGCCCAAAATGGGCTTTGCGTGTCTTTTCAGGATGGTATCTTTTAGCGGCTAGATCTTTACCCAACCAAACGAGAAAAGACCAAAACACGGGCTGTCGGGCTTCTAAACAGCCGACAGCCCGCGCGGAAAGACGCACCAAACGAGGCCTTAGTAGTAACCAACCCTCAACAAGCTAGTATTGCCTGTTGCAAATGCAGCGTCAGCCAAATCCACTCCCTTAATTGTTGAAAGTTTGAAACACTCAGAAACAAAGCTGGCAATCCAAGTGTTATCCTTGCTACCCTTTCTCTTATGAACTTTTTTGTTAATCTTTTCACATGGACTTGGATAATCAACTCTTCAAACAAGAAAATACTTTGGTGACATGAACAAAACTGTGGTTTTCAGCACCTCTACATGTCTCCCTAGTCAACTACTCTTCTCCTTTGTATCTCCTCTATCTTCTCCCTGTGCAATATTAGATGGCTCCAAGTCATTAGAGAAATCATCCCCCTTCTGTTCAAACTTCAAACTCCACCACCACTGCCTTCACCTTATTGCTGTCAAAGTTAGAATAATAGGGTACATTTCATTTCTATAAACATCTCCTAGCAAATAAAACAATCATCCAAAAGATTAGAACTGCTTCCTTGCAAACCCTCAAGTCAAGGTTCTGTTCCATCAAATTAAAGGTTTTCCTATAATCATCCACTATATCTGCCTCACCAAACAAGCCTTATACCTTCTCACAAAAATCTTCTACAGGGTTTTAGAGACCTATCTTCTCCAGAATCCTTCACTGCAGCTAAAGTAGCACCTTCCTTCACCAAATGGTCATCATATGATTCACTGCCAAGAACCAAGTTGCAAGAGTAGGAAAAACAGGGCATGAGTGTCTAGGGAATCCCTACATTGATCCAAGAAATAAGATCAAATATGTTTAGTCATGGTTACTGGTCAAAGATATAGAAGGAACCTTTCCCAACTGGGCTACTTTGTGAAAGCACAGAGGAACTTGTACCATACCAAGATCATTGAGAAATTTAATGAACAAAAGAAAACAGCAAGACTAAAATAATTTTCCCTCTAATAGACAAGGGGAAAAAGAATGTTCTTTGTAAGGTTTTATGTATTGACATATAGGATAACAACGAAGTAACAAATAATTGTAGATGAATTGGTAATAATATTAGTTACAAAGATATTGATAATTTGATAGTAGTATGATATATCTCTCTCATGTAATATAATGAAAGAACTAACCAACATAAACAAATCCCAGTCAGCTTTTACATGAAAACCCAGACAAGAATTCATGTTATAAATAATGAAGAGTACTGTTAGAGCAAGATCACATACAACAGAACACCCAAGGCCAGAGACTGTGTCAGGGGAGTTTCTTACCATCCCAATAGTAGAATGAAAAACATCCAGGAACAATAGTTACAGTCCCATGAAAACGTATTCACATGACTCAGTCAACTTGCTCAATTTGCAGTACAAGAGACTGGCCTCAGTCTTTCACAAAGGGAGCTTTTATGCCTTTCAAATTGCAGGATCCTCAAGAACAGCTGTCGATAAATCATTTATTCGTGGGTAAGCAGCCTTCTCATCAAGCTGGTTCTGTGCCCAGATCAGCAACTTTAACAAGCTTGGAAGCTTTGGGTCTGTGGTTTGATATACCAGAAATACCAAGTATAAACATCAAAGAGATTTTTCAGAAAAGAAAAAAAAAATGAGATAAACCAAGATGGTTTATAGATTGATTAAGTACAGAGTAACATTCTTGGAAACAGAGCACTTTTGAGAATCATCAAAGGAAAACTCAAATCAGGAAAATATGAATATCTGTATAAAAATAAGGAAGTGATATGTTGAATCAACTAAAATATTCAAACAGGGAAAAACACAAGTACGGACCTTTTCAGATGCTCAAGGCAATAATAGGCCTTGTATACTTCAGCATCTTCAAGATATTAACCAATACAAGCACAACTTTGCTGTTGAATCATGAAACCATTCTTTCTCATGACAATATTGAGCTCCATGCATGTATTTGTTAGACAGCTTGCATGTTTAAAATCACTTCCACAGCTAATCCTCTGAAAAACATATTAGAGTCTCTTTTTCTTTGATACAAAGGAGCCTAAGAGGAACATCTGGCCTTTTATTAAACAAAGAGGAAGATTAGGATGCTAAATTATCTTATCTAGAAGCACAATTTTCATTAACACTTCTCTGAAAGGAAGAAAATTAATGATAGCAACACTTTTAATATCCTTTAATGAGCTGTTGAAGGTGACAAGGAACTTTTTCACTTGGGACGTGAGGCTTTTTTTCCTGGTGAATCTAGGGGCTTGAAGCTTTAGATAATTCAACCCTGAAATATTCCTTGCCACCTTCAGGGATGAGCATATTATGCAATGCAAAACAGTTCACCAGATGGGAAGGGTAGCACTTTTCTAGGTGGAAAAATAGAATGCATCACCAAGATTTGCCTAGAGGGGCGTGTTGCTGACAAAAAAATTATCTTTCAGAATGATGCTATGGAAGTTATGATGACTGATAGTTTGGGTAAAGAAAACCAAACACAGTATGGAGTAACTAGCCTGTCCATGACCTGGTATAAAACTATTCAGAATATTTTACATTTAAGTGTTTGAGGTAACATATGCAAGCAAGGACAGTCCAATCAAGAAAATGTGGAAAACCACTACAACATAAGCTCTGGTTAGATGTACAAACCTAAAATATCAGAAATCTAGTGGGAGTTACAATTAACAATCATAAACAATAGGTAAGTCAAATTGTTGTGTCTAATGACAAACAACTTTATAGGTGGCTTTCTATGACAGTAAATAGAAGATAAAAATTAGCAGAACTGTAACTTAATTCTATAAACTAATGAAAGAGGTAGATATTAAAAGAAGGATGCAAAATAACAATAAGAATAATAAGTATGATTGTAGGGTAAGATTAACACAAGGGAATTTCCCTAACCTTTTTCATGACTCTGGCTAGTGAGTATGGCTGCATTGACCTCACTTGCTGTCTTCAAACGCTGTGATATGTCTAGAAGCTCTCCCACTGGGCAATTTGTGACATCTTCAAATGCAAGTAACGCAATTGTCCTCTCCAACTCTTCTAAGAAGCTTTGCTGCAAATAACTTTAAATTTCTTAAATCCGGTAAACAAAAGGTATATAGAGCTTATTAGAAAAATATTGGACCCATGGATCCAAGTTCCATCACCTTTTTGTGAAGGAAAAAGACTAGGTTAGATTTCATTAAAAAAAAAACCCACAAAGACCAAAAGAAAACTCGTAATTACATTTTCTTCACCCCTTGGTGCCAACTCCTCCTGAGCAAATTCTAAAGCTTCTTCTACCTTTCCATTGCGTATAAGTTCTATCAACCTTTGCTGCTGCAGATGAAAAAACAATTGTGGATTTGTATCCAGTATCTGCATGCAGAACCATCAGATTAAGTTAAAAAGAAAAAAGAACTAAAACATTTTAACAACAATCTATTAAATATATCATATTACCATGGACCATAGGCTCTTTGACATCATATTATGAGCAATTAGTCATTGCAAAGAATAGGTAACATGACAAAATCTGGACAGCATTAATGTTCTATGGAGGCATACAAGTTTATCATACATTTTAATTTTCTTCCTATCTATTAGTATGGAAAGATTTACAGAAAAAAAAAAAAAGGATAAGATGTCCACATCATGCAGAGGAATAATAAAATGCACCAAAAAAGTTCAAAGTCAATACTTTACCATCTGCTTCAAATCACTATCAAAGTCTATCCATTTCATGTCATTACCAAACCTGCTCTTTGATATATGGGAATGTCTTCATATATCCTTGAAAGACTTCTTGAAGTGCCAATACCACAAAGTCTGTGAGCTTCAAAATGAATTGAAGTTCATTGGTGTAATTACGTATGTAGCATGTCCAGTACCCTCCAATTTATCCTAAAATTTGAAGAGGAAAAAAAAACTAAGATCCAACAAAAAGCATCAGATGATCAGTGCTTCCAAAGCCTACAAACAGCTTTTCTTGTGAGCAAAAAAAAAGTATGTTTACAGTTTTAAATTGTCTAGCAAGTTTACATCTTCAAATTTCCACAGTTTTTTATTGGTAACTGATTAGAATTTTATTAGATCAGAAATAATAAAGTACAGAGATAATAATAGAACAAAGGAGGGATTTTAGTCTAATCCCCAGCTGAGAAAAGAAGGCTAACTCCTCTTCTACTTTCCCCATATCTCCAATTAAAACCCAAAGGTCAAACACGATGCTAAAAATGGAAAGGCGTGTACCCCAATTCAAAGACTGTCTACTTCCCTCCCTGACTAGAGAATCAGCAAGGGTATCTGCTTATCTAGGAATCCAGAAGAATCTAACATAGAAGGCAAGCCTCTAGACTGCTCTGAGTCCCTGACTTGGTGCTAAAGATGCCAACGACCAGCATCTCCATCTCTCAACAAGTTATAATGGATTTTGAAAGTATGAGTTTCTTTGGGAGTTATTGCTCAAGTTTCAACAATTGTAGTAGGATTAGCAGAAGCAAAGATGTAGCAACGAAAAATGGAGAATTTGAAACTGAACTCCTAAGAACTTTATTACCACCATACTCAATAAAGTTAGTTAAACAAAAAAAAAAATGTATAAGAAAAGAGTGAAATATCTTCCTTTGCATGAGCAATGTGAGGCCAACCATGACAGTAACATTCCTTTAATATTCTTAGCCACCAGTCTCCTCATTTGATTTATGAGAATTCCTTTCCCACAAGATAGCACCGCGAGCATCATTTCCCAAAGAACCTTGCCTCCTCTATTCAAATTTCTAGTGTGCCAAGCTTCCAAGAATTGTACAGTTTCTGGGAAGCAGATTTGTTCTCCAAAATACCTAAAGCCCTTTTCCAAAGATTAAACAAGGCTGCAGTGGAGAAAAAGGTGACTTGCTGACTCTATGCAGCTGTCACATAGAATGCAATTCATATTGTCAAGTGCCATCCCCCTTTTCATCAAATTTTTAGATGTCAGGCATCTATTGAGTGTTGCCAACCAAAGCACAAAAACAGAGACCTCTGACAGCACTGCAACATTACACACTCTTGAGCTTGGAAATCTGCTTCCTCCCCTGGGTATTATCATACCATACAAAAAGCTAACTAAGAACCTACTTGAACTTTCCCACACCCACATTATTTTATCCCTCTGATTTCTTTTCAAGCTGGTATTGTGAAGTGCCTGCAGCAGCCCTACTAATGATTCAACTTCCCAATATTCCAGGCTTATTCTGAACAAAGGGCACATACGATGGACTCATTCTGAGCTTCATATTTCCAAGACAGTATACTCCTTATTAAGCATAATATCAAACAGAGAGGGAAACTCCTCCTCAGAGACCTCTCTACACACCAGATATCCTCCCAGAAACTCACCCGTGTACCATCACCTATATCATATTTGAATCTTTTTCTTTTTCTGGAAGAAGTTAAAGTATTATAAAGCATTAGAAAAGAAACCAAATACATCAGCCCACATACAATGAGAGTCTGAACATTGGGAATATACAAAAGAACCTGGGAAATCCAAGAAAAAAAGGTCCAGCTTGCAAAAAAGATAAAAGCTGGACACCATTGAAATCCCTTTCTACGCTTAACCAAGAACATAGAAGGCCTATAATTTTGTTCTTAACCGAAGCTACATCAGAACATTTGTTGTCAAAAATTCAACAGCTTCTTTCCTTCCAAAGAGCCCACAAGATGGCAGATGAGAAAATCCTCCAAAGCAGCTTGCCCCTTTTATTCAAGCCCTTGAGAATCCACCCTTGCAGAAGCTGAAGGACTGATTCAGGTAGGAAAGACCGAACACCAAAGCAAGACCAAGCCATTTCCCACAGCTGATGAGAAAAACTACAGTGGATGAAAAGGTGATTGGAGGACTTAGGGACCTCATTGCAAAAAGGGAACAAGATACTAGGAAGATACATCCCCCTTCTGAGCGGCCAATCTAATATTAGGCATTTATCAAGAGCTGCAGTCCAAACCAGGAAGGCTATTTTCAAGGGTGCATGGGAATTCCAAATTAAAGCCCAAGGGAAGTCTCCATCCTCTCTAGACACAAGGTTGCTGTAGGACTGAGACAAAAACTTACCAAATGACTCCCAAGACCATTCTTTCATCATCAAACTGAGGGTTAGGCTTGATACTTCGAATGAGGTTTAACAGCTCAGTCAGTGGACCATTTCCTAAGCAATGAGATTTCTTCTAAAAGTGGGGCCCCAAATTGTCTCACCATTCACTGAGTCAAAGCAGTCTTCAACCATTCCATCCTTGTCCTGTGCAATATCAAAAAGAGAGGGGAAGCTCTCACTCAAAGCAAGGTTTCCACACCATTTATCATGCCAGAATTTGACGTGAATACCTTTGTCAACCTTGCATCTAATGCCCTTCAAGAAATCAGGAAGGATAGAGACAATATTGCTCCACAGAGCACATCCCCTTGGGAGCAGGCCAGGACCCAAGTCCCAACCAATGCTTGTGAGCCCATACTTCTCCACATGATCCTTCTCCAGAAGCTGCTTCTCTCCTTGAATCTATTTTCTATGAACTTGTGTCTATTTTCTACTACATAAAAATTAAGAAATTTGGCATTCAGACTCATCAATATCCATGTACAATATACCACATATTTGGAAGAAGCATGTGATCCCAAAAACCTTCCAGTCAACACAAAATGCAACTAAGTTCTCTAATAGACCAGATGCTGTAATTGGTTTAAATGATAAAATCAACTTATTGAGATGCAATATGTTGAACTAAAACAAGATTTAGTTTAAAACAATTATGATTAAAATTCCGAAACAAGACTTAAAATGCAACAGGAGGAAAATATATCCAGCTAATTCTCTCTCAAAACTCATGACAGGCCCTCCAAAATACACTACCACAAATACCAGGACACTCTAACAGTTTTTATAGAAACTTTCTTCCTTTCATCTCCTTTTTTCTCAGATTTAAATTTGGTTATATCATTACAACAAAAGAGACAAAGACATGTACTTTTAATGAGTATTTACCATCACCGATCAACAAAATAAAATAGTAAAAGTCAATTTCTAGTTTGTAGATACCAAAGGCTTTTAAAAGACCTAACTTAAATCTGTTCTCCAAGAATTCCAAGTTAACAATAAAGGATAATGTGTAAACCCTGTATTTTTTTTCTCGTGAATATTATTGTAAAGAAAAGATAGGAGCATCCCACCTCAGGATTCAAATCATTGACTTTCTCAATTGCATCCTCTACATTCCCACACTGCACTGCTTTTTTTACGGCCATACGATCTGTAATAGTTGCTAGATCTATATCTGCTGTTTACTTATAAGGACGACATGCAACCATAAATGAAGCACAGAATTTCCAACAACATAAATAGTGGAGCACCAAAGTTGAAGGGAAGTAAGGATACGTTCAGTTCCTGACTCCATTCGAAATTTCTCCGCAGCTTCAACATAACCTTCTGTGACAAGAAAATTCATCACCAGCCTATTCATATCTTCTTTCCTAATCTTTACATCGTTGAGCTTTTTCTCCCACTCTTCCCTCGTGATCACTTTCTTTGACGTCGACTTCATAATATAGGCAAACTTAGACATATGCTTAAGAAAATTCTCCATATAAATATACAGCACATAGCCAGAACCAAAGGGGTAATAATTCACAAGGTCTTTGCAATTCACTAAACCGTAGGTTGTCTATTCAATTTTCAGGGTAAGGGAAGAAAAAACGTAAATGAATTGTCATAGTCAATGAAGAAAAGAAGGTAATGTGCTAATTACCATTGTTTCAACCGCTGCAAGCTGACTGATGACAATCCAGAACAGTGACATCAGTACGCTTCATTCAAACACCACCGAAACTGAGAATTAATTCTACAATATCCCTAAGAAATCCAAGCAAACAAACACTCCATCCAATGAGAGAATCTTAAAATGCAGCTCAAGAATACTAATGGCTATTGCACCATCCTCCTCCCTCAAGTACCAATAAGGAAAACAAAGTGTGGCGAAAAAAATGTTGGATTTCCAGAAGAAAAAGCAGTGCTTTTATAAGATCTCATGTTTCTGATTTTTGGAAACCCTAGAATACAAGACTGGAAAATAAGGGCTACTAAGGATTTGAATTCAAACACCAGAACAACGACTTTGCAGGGTATTGAAGCTGAAAATGAATAAACTAATCAGGAAAAGAAAGGAAATAAGACATGGAAAAGAATTCCTTTCTTGGAAGTAATAAGCAGAGTGCAATAAATATACATAAGGAAAATATAATGCAGCAGCAACGTATACACCCAGCAGAATTTGGCGGGAACGCACCTCCCAATTCGGATGCCAGAAGAGTCTTCGCTGATATCTGAATGATTGTGGTCGTTTTCCGGCGATTCCTTCCTCTGAATCAGATATGATATTAATATAAAATAAAAGATCGATCGAGGTCGCAGCTTGTTCGGCTGTTTTCTAATCGATGCCAAACATATGAGAAGGCAAATGTCAATTGGTAATTTGGTATGGGTGCTTTGTGATACTTGCTACCGAAAGATCCCATCTTGACGGTGCCCAACAAACTTCTATGCCCATCTTTTGGTACTAGGACGAGTAATCCCAGAAAAATAAACAATTCAAAAGGCCAGGCCTCCTCTAAGAAAAAGGAAATTTGTAAACTCACCGTGAGTTTTCACCGTTTCTCTTAAATTCACCATAACTTTTCAAATATTCCAAAACTCACCATGTCACTAACCATTAAACAACTAACCGGTGTTAATATATTACCATTTTAATATTTAGACATAAAAAAAGAAAAAGTTTAAAAAATTATTTTCAAATATAAAATACATAAAAACATAAAAATTATAAAAATTGCAAACAAAAAAAAAATTATTTTCAAATTATAGAAACTATAGAAAATGAAAAACAAAATCAGAAAATAAAAATTATAGAAAAAGCATAAAAAATTATAAAAAACACGGAAATTGTAAATAAATAACAAAAAATACAGGAAAATTTATAGATTGTAGAAAATAGAAAATTGTAAAAAAACACTGGAAATTATAACAAAACACTAAAAAAGCAAAAAATAAATAAGAAAATTGAAAACTGAAAAAGACCATTTTTCCTCTAACTCACCATTCAAGGGTAATTTGGTCATGAAAATTGTTATTTATGCTGACATGGACACCTCTGTTAAGAAGCATTAATGGTGCACTAACCGAAGGTGAGTTTTGGAAAATAAAAATTTATTGACATGGTGAGCTTTAGACATTTTGAAAAGTTGTGGTGAGTTTAAGAGAAATTGTGAAATCTCATGGTGAGTTTGACACTTTCCCTAAAAAAACAATACGTAGGGCCGCAACTTGGGTTGGGATAGCCCAAACCCACCCGGAGAAGTTAAGTTGGGTTGGCACGAGTTGCAGTTTGGATTAAGGTTAAGATTGAGAAGTATGAATTTGATTTAACATTGGGTTAGATTTGGGTTGAGGCTTTGACCAATTTGAACTGACTTAATTTAATACTAGTAATTAAGCATGTCAGTGTTGTTTAATACTAGTAATTAAGCATGTCAGTCAACACGTGAGAAATTTTTCTCATATTAATTATTTGAATTTTAGATATATCATAGTTATGATAAAAATTGAAAATTAACAAAAGTAACAATATGATTAAAAATAAATTTAAATGTTTGTTGTAAATGTGCACATGGAAATTTTAAATTACAATTACAATTATTATTATTATTATTATTATTATTATTATTATTATTATTATTATTATTATTATTCTTGTTGTTGTTGTTGTTAATAATAGTAGTAGTAGTAGTGTTGTTATTTATTTTTATTTAATATGATGAATACGTAACATTAGAAATGTTCTCAAATGTTTTTGACAAAATCCTATACTTTTTCATTTTTTGTGTTTTATCATTTTTTAAATATTTATTATTCAATTATGACATCATGAGTTTCTTTTAAAAGTTGGATCATTGACCCACCATCTAGGTAAGAAAATAGCTTTGCTTTCGGATCTGTTTTAAATTATATATTTCATCTACATTATATAAATAATTTTAGTTATCACACTTATTTTTTGTTTGACAAGATTAATGTATAATTTTTATATATTCTTTTGATTATTAGTACTTTTTTATATTTTAAAATTTATTATTTAACTATCATATTATCGATTAATCCATTTGACCCAAACCACTAACCCACCACCCAAAAAGGAAAATAGTTTGATTTCTATGTTAGACATTAAATTTTGTATTACATTTTCATCATTGATAATATAATACTTGTTTTTGTTCAATATAATGAATGTATAACATTAGAGATGTACCCAATATTTTATTTTTTATAAATATATAGCATTAGATATGTGCCCAAAATTTTCTCTATTTTTTTTATTTTTGTGATTCTTTATATTTTATTTTTTAAAAGTTTTATTTTATTAGTTAACTACGACATCATTTCATTTATAGAATTATAGCTTGATTTTAAATTTGGCATTCTAGTTTCATCATTAATAAAAATACTTTTACTTTTCATACTTGTTTTTGTTTAGTATAATGAATGTACAATATTAGAGATATGCCTAATTCTTTTTATTTTTTGTATTATATATTTTATTTATTTTAGTTTTTTATTATTTAATTATGGAATTATTTATTAATCCATTTGACCCCAAATGGTTGAATTGCTTACCCACCACCAAGAGGGAAGAAAATGGTTTTGTTTTCAAATTACTTTTTGTCCGGATAATGCCCTAGCTGGCCAAAGCTACCATCTGGGCACCTTTGTGGCTGACGTCCCTAGACCACGTTAGCGTGTTGCTCACCTACAAGTGTGGATAATCATGTCACCATCTCACCGAAGACCTCAGATAGAAGTGGAATCCTGCAAGGATAAGCATTGCATTCCAAAGATAAGCGCCCGCGTCGGGGAAGGCAGAGTTCCCCGAAAACTCGATGGGCATCATGATCCCAATAACCTCGTAAGCAGCGTGTCCAAATACAACTCAAATGCCTAATTATTTAAAGGCATTTTGCCTCAAGGTAAAGCATATGCTTCAACTCTCTAAACTCTCTTGTGCATTTACTGTTCTCATTGGCTTGGCCCAGCTCAACACGACTGACTCCATCATCCCATACTGACTTGAGCATCAGAGTGCCTTCTTTAGGACCTCAACCTCAGGCCTTTGTCTCTTTCCTATTTGTAGATCTCCTTGGTGCACAACCTCATCCTTCCACATTGGCTTCATCTAATTGGTAAGATTATCTATTGTGTGTTCAGTTTGTCATACCGCATTTCGGCACACCTCAAATCAGACAATATCATATTGACATCGTTTGTGGGAACCAGTACAAAAGCGACCATACATCCTCGTGCATCAAAAGCAATCATACATCCTAAAAGCACTCCCAATCACTTTGATGCTCACTCCCCATCTTGGGAACCCCATTATCAACACAGCTCCCTCTCCCCCCCCCATAAGACTCGACCGTAGAACCAGGTGAATTCTGAAGAGTTCAACGCCCTATAGAAGAAGGTTGACCACCTCATCCTAATGATAGAAGCGTAGGGGCAACAAGGACACGCCTCTACAGTAGCGCAACCAGCTCCATAGGTGCCTACGGTGGCTGATCCTCATGTCAAGGACCCTAAAAGGCACCCAATGGATCCTCCGATGAGACTTCTTGATGATACATGTTCATCATACTACACACACCAAGTGCCCTCCATAGTGACCCGACCGAACCCTAATAGTTGAGCACAAACACTTGGGATTCCTAGCTCAAACTAGGTGAAGTAGGAACAGTGTCCCCGCCACTCATGGGCTTAGGATGACCAACGAAGACCACTCCATATTGTCATAATGACCTTAAGGAGCTGATGACCCATGGAAAGCCCCTTGCCCCTTGACCTAATGTTGAGGGAAGAGTCAACTGAGCACTACGATTGACCTGATAAGGAGCAACTGACCAGCTCTGAGATGACTAGGCTCCACCAAGCTCCCTAAGAAACTTGAGAGCTCGAAAATGCCTTGGCCAATTAGGCTTGGGGGTCGCTTGAGACACCAAGTCCAAGACCCGGCCAACCTAAGTCCAAGGCCACCTAGCTAAGCCCGAGAACTAAGCCAGCATAAGATCGAGGCCACTAGCTATCAAGTCCATAACCTCAACCAGCCTAAGACTTTGGCCACCTGACCATCAAGCCCGAGACCTCAACCAACCTAAGACCAAGGCCGCCTAGCCATCAAGTTCGAGACCTCGGCCATCCTAAGACTTTGACCAACCTAGGAGAATTAAAGCTAATCAACAACTGAAGTTGGATCCTTGGGGACCTCAACCCCTTTGACCTCCTTAGCCTCTTTGGGGACATCGACCTTGGACAACTTGGCCTCACCTTCGGTCTCCTCAACCTCGACCGATTCAACCTCACATTTGGACTCCTCGACCTCGACCAATTTGGCCTCCTTGGCTTGATCAATTCGACCTCACCTTTAGTCTCCTCGACCTCGGCCTCCTTAGCCCCAGCTAACTTGGCCTCACCTTCAATCTCCTTGACCTCGGACAACTCAGCCTCACCTTTGGTCTCCTCGACCTTGACCATATTGACATCAGTCTTCAGCATAATGAGTCTAACAACCTCTAGTTGAGGCCTTAGCTCAGACTCATTACTCGAAGTGGAACTACTGAAATAGGAAAAGGAAGAAGAAGATGAAAAAGGAAGACATCTTACCGAAGCAAAGAGCGCAAAACACCTGAAGTATTAGACTTGGTTTGACCAAGCTGTGACCAGCCAGAAAAATCTACTAAGTTCCTCAATCAAGCACTTTAGGAGCTCTTCCACTCCACCATAGCCGAGCACCTTACTCATTGACTTTAGAACTGGGGGACTGGTGTTTGGGCGGTGCCCTACATGGCCGAAGTTGTCATGTGGGCAACTCTATGGCTGACGTCCTTGGATCTTGTCAGCGCATTGCTCACCTAAAAGTGTAGGTAACCAAGTCACCAAAGACCTTAGATAGGAGCAAAGTCCCACGTGGACAAGGATAAGCACTGTCTCCTAAGAATAAGCGCCCTCGCTAGGGAAGGCGGAGCTCATCGAAAACCTTGGTGGGTGGCCTCATCCCATTAACCCTACAAGGAGTGTGTCCAAATACAACTTAAACACTCAATTATTTAAAGACATCTCCCCTCAAGATAAAGCAACTGCTTCAACTCTTTAGACTCTCTTGTGCATTTATTGTTCTCCTCGACTCGACTTGACCGACTCCATCACCCCATACTAACTTGAGCATTGGAGTGCCTTTGCAGAACCTCATCCTTGAGTCTCTGACTCTTTCCTATTTGCAGATCTCCTTGTTGCATAACCTCATCCTTCCACCTCGGCTTCATCTAGTTGGTAGGATTATTTGTTGCATTTGGTTCGCCATACCACAGTTCGATACACTTCATATAGACAACATTACTTTTTCAAAATATTTATTTTTATACTATTAAAATTATGCTATGGATTTAATTAGTAGAAATTATTGATGAGAAAAA